TCCCTACCTCAGCCAAGATGAGCAAGGCTCAGCAGAGAAGAGGTACAACACCATGAGACAACAGCTTCTCTGGGAAAGGGAAAAAATGGCATGAAAAAGGTGATACCAGAAATTCCCAGCTCCTGCAGGAGTAGGAAGGTGGTTCAGTCTTCAGTTCACAGAGGAAGCTAAGGAGAGGGCAGAAGAGTGCAGAGAAACCTGCAACTCTTGTGGGTTGGGAGAAGCAGCTTGTTTTGGAATCGGAGTAGAGTGAGCTACTAAGGAAGGCCAGAAAGGAGGATCACACATAGATTTTAATCATAATATCGTATGTGTTGTGACCACTGGAGAGGACCACTGAACATGCCTTCTTCCTCCCATATGGATGAATACCTTTTTACTCAACACTGTACACTTCAGTGAGATGAGAACATTTTTAGATCCCAGAAGTGGAAGTGAAAGGGCTGTGATAAAAAGAGAGAGGGTTGAGGGGATTCGGTAGATAGAATATATGAAATCAGGGCAAAGTTTTAAGGTCAGAATTAGTGAGATGCATTCTAGGGAAATATTAGGAGCACAAATCAGCTGAAATTTAGTTGCTAGGCTGGGAACTGGGTTAAAATATCTCCAAGCCGAGCACCGAAGCATTCCCTGTGGCTTTTTATTTTTTTCCAGTTTCTACAATAGATTCAGGAAGAGATCAAAGTCACAATATCATCATCAACAAATTTTTCTTGAGCCATAAATTACTGCTGCTTATGGTGAAATCCTTGAAAGCGGGGACAGAACTGTTGACACATTTTAGCAGACCCTGCTTCTCAGCTGCACTGGTGGGAACAATGTGTTCAGATAAAGTGGAGGAAAGCTGCCTGCTGACTGCTATTAGTCCTTTCCTAGGACCAAAAAAAAAGTATCCTAGGAAAGCTTTCTTTTGGGATACTGTCACAGCATAAAATCTTGCATTAAAAAAACCCTTAACTAGGGACATGGTAGTTATTACAGCAATGTGTAATGAGATGGCAGTCCAGGATGGGCACCTTTCTTTATGTACAGTGCTGTTTTATACATGAAGCCATGTGTAAAATCTATCTAGTAAGATATATGTGTCCTTTAATTAAGGTCTCGTGTACAGTGTAGTAGTAATGAGGGAATATGATGAAAAGAAATGGAAAAGGAAGGAGCTGTATTTACCATGCTGAGCAGCCTTTATCATATGGAAATGATCAGAATTTAAATTTTTATCATCTGTCACAATTTGCTGCTGCTTTAATTAAAATAATGCCAAGGACGTGTAGACCGAGTCTGGCTAGATGTGCTTCGTGCTCTTAATGACTGTCAGATGGGCAGGCAAGGGGTACAGAGAGGGCAGGACTGCGGGAAGATCCGGAGGGAGATGGTGCCAGATGGCCAGGCTTATTTTATTAATTTAGATCTCCATTATGGCTTCTCTTTTCTTCATTTCTCCAAAGAATGAGTTAGTTTAATGGGAATCATTTCACAGCCACAATATGACGTGTTTAACTCCTCATCAGCTGGCCGCCTCTGTGAGGCCCCAGCTCCAGCCCAGGTGCTGAGCCCACAGCAGCTCTCCCTCAGGTAATTTGCTGAATCCCTCTTAGCAGGTGCTCTCTACCAGGATGTCCTGACTCGTGGTGTACCAGTGCAGCCAACTGCTGTCCTAAACTGGTTCCAGCTTCTGATCACTGCAGGCAAGTAGCGCCAAGGCAGCGTTGTGAGCCATTTCTCTCCTGTTACGACCTCGCCTGTTCAGGCACGGTGCCACAGGGGCCGTCCAGGCTGCTGGGCTTCCCCACGTATTTTAGGCTGCTCTCTTACATATGCAAAAGCTTCTTGTTAGTAGCAGGTAGCCTCCTTCTTCTTCTTCCAGCTCTTGAGTGCCTGGAGACCCAGAAAGCATAACAGAGTATTGAGGAAATTGAATTTAAAGATTTTTTTTCTCTTCGGTTTTGTGTTCGTGCATCGTGTGCTCAGTTACTGAGGTATCTGCCGCCTCCCTGTGGCTGTTGCGAAAAGCTGCACACAACTGGAGAAGTTGATTTAGATACCAGTGAGATTTAGGGGTTTAGAGATTAAAAAAGAAGTAATATCATCTTCTGAAAAGCTGCTTGACAGTCTAAAGCAAGAAACCGCTCAGGTGTTTGCATTGAGAGCAGAGTTTTTTAATTTCTTCCTTTTCTGTCTACTGTAATAACAAAAGAGCTTCAATTTGTCAGGTCTTCTGCATCATCAGTGGTTATTAGATTAGTGTTAGCAATAAAATGAGCTTGCCTTCTGTGATTCAATGAAAAAAACCACCAAACTTCTGAAGCATTTCTATTTCCTGAATCCTCTATAAAAAGTCTGTTCATGTTCACTTTATGAGTGGATTCAGAAATGTGTATCACATTGAAGTTATTCTCGGATTGCAGTAAAGCAGCTAGACTGATTTTGATCACAACTGTATGGCGGGAACAAGTGGCAAGATGTATTTCCACATATATTTTAGTGACATATGCAGGAAAAAGAACAGAATTCATCCCAAAAATCTATGGTACATACCATGACAAGAAAAAAGCAAACCAGCTCAAATAATGTGCCATGCAGAGGAGGAAATCTTGTGCTATAACACAGGGAATAAGGGATAACATTTTCAGAATTCTGAATTAATACTTGGCCTTTTGAACATCTGTATCAATGAATTTCAAAATCTTGTATTGGGATTCATAGTTTTTTCCAAACTCTGTGACTTTGTATTTGTTTACAACTCCATCCTCAAGAATTTAATAGGTGTATGAAATATTAATTTTGTCAGCCCAAGGCTGATAGTAACATAACTTTTGATAGCAAAGTGATTTATGCTGTCACCTCCCCTGGGTCTACACCGTTCAGTTCTGTGCTAGTGACAAAGCTGGTGCCTTGCAGATGAGAAAGACGAAGATGAGGGAGGGGAGCCTGGGAGCCATCAGTCACTGTTAGGTGAGCGAGGGGCCTTCATGCTCTTGAGAGCCTTACAAGCAGGTTTGCCTTCACACTTGCTGTTACAAATGATTAAAGCAAAAGCCAAACTCATGCATCTATGGGAAGCTCACATTCTGATAATGTGGGGATGGCATTCTGACTGCTCACTCAGCAGGTTGGGATAGAGAGGACCAGGTTGAAGGAGCATATCATTCCGCTTCAGTAATCTGAAGTCTTACACATATGCTGTATATTAAATATGGGGTAAAATATCTAAGAAAATATTAGGTGAGATTGGATTAAAATCTCAAGAGCAGTCAGAATTTGTCAGGCTATCAAAATTAAGTCTTTAGGCATGATAAATACACATTTTTGAGAAAGATGCACAAAATTTAGAGGTCTGAATTTGACAATTATCTCAAATTTCAAGTGCTTTTTGCAAAGCTTATCTAGACTTTCGGATTTTTGTTGTCATTTCTGATCTTCTGAAAGCTCCCAACTTTCCTTGCTAGGCTGACAGCAAGCAAATATTCCCCGTCTTTCCTTACTCCTTCCGTAGCACTCCAAAATTGCCTGGGTATTTTCTAGTAATTTTGATAGGATAGTTTTACAAATGCTTTTTATACTGCCTTTACCCAGTGTTGGAGTTATGTCTTCTCACTGCTGCTATTTTACTCTCTTTCCCTCAGTGCATTATGTCTTAGTATTCAATATTGTACCAGGACTGGAGAGAATGAGCTCATGACTGAGACTGAGTACAGTAGACTTTGAAAATTATATGACATAAAAAAGTTGTATAAAAAGATATTGAATGATTTATTTAGGAGTGTGAATACATTATACCGGTAATCTAATTCCCAGTATCTTCCTAAACGGCTTTTAAAACCATTTTTTTTTTATTTCTTTGGGTTTTGAATTGCTGCTAAAATAATGAAAATGGATGGCGCTGATGATGAATCGTCATGACAATGTTTACTATCAGCGGGGACTTTTGCCAGAGTGTTTTAATCAGTAACAGGGTCCCAATGGCACTGGCCCACTTAGACCTGCAGATAAAAAAAATATATTCTTGCTATTTCCTTTATTTGTGCTGATGTTGCAACAGCTTAAATGAAAGCTTCTGTAAAGAGCAATAAATTAATCTATTTCAGAGGTCTGTGGTTAGATGGCAGGCAAGCAGGCTAAGAGCTCACTGGGGTTTCTCTGCATAGCCCATGGGCTCAGGTACCTGTAGGGGCAAGAAGGCACAGGGGCTCCCTTTAGGCACCTTATTGCAGTGCTGGTGTTCAAGTGCCCACGAGAGTTTCCTCTCGCCCCAACCAAACACAGAGCAGTCCGGAGAAAGAGGTAGGTGCCCCGAGATGACCTTTTAGAGTGTGTGTGTTAAACAGTAATTAGTTACTCCTGTTTGCCCTACATAGGCATGCAGCTTTCTGTTGAGGGAGCCTAGGGAGCCCGTGTTACTCATTCAAATTAAGCAATGTGGGTATTTCTGTAGCTGTGAAATGAAAGTCCGTGAAAAATTGGTTTTCTAAGAAAGAGCTAAAACTGACTTTGCACGTCTGTATCAAAACCGTTACGGATGTAGCTTGGACCAGACTTTACCTTAGAAGAAGGAAATGAAACAAAACCAAAGCAAGCACAGAATCAGAAACAATATTAAATAGTTGTTTCTCACACCAAAAATCAACACAGGGCTGGTAAGTGGGATTCTAGTCTCAAGTCTTCATCCTGTGTGTGAGGACTCCATTCCTGGTTGCATTAGACACTAGATGACCAGGCAGTCTGCAAGCAGCCCAGTAACCTCCCAGTTCTGAGGAGTTTGGGTCAATTTAAAATTTGTTTCTTGGAGCTGTCATTAATTATGTTTGCAAAAGCAATTACAGACAGCAGTAAAAGTAAAATAAGCACCAGCTGTTGTGAAAGTCATAACTCAGGAAATAGTTTTCTCTGATTGTATACTTCAGTGGCACAAATAATTGCGCAGTAACTACTACTATTTGCCATTTAATGTATGGGGCATGACCAGAAGATGTACTAATGTCTGACATATTTTCTTTCAGGATGATTTTCTGTATAGTGTCTCCGTTTTAAGTGGAATCCTTTGCACTGTCTTGGCAGTAATCAAATTTATGCTGGGAAAGGTCCTTACAAGCAGAGCGCTGATAACCGATGGTGAGTGTCAAGCTGATCCTGCTGTGTTTATTGATTTTTCCAGGTAATGTTGTAGACAGGGAGGATACAAGTGACTCCTACATGAGGGCAACTGTGAAAGTGCATTGAAATAAGAAGGCCACTGGGAAATGGGGAAAAAAGCCAAAACCCCTCTGTGGTACCAATAGCCTCTTGCATAGACACCTCAGCTGAAATGTGCACATCTGGTGGAAGTTAATGTGTGGATAGTAAGCAATAATAGAGTTTGAGGAAGAGCATATAATAAATTTGGTGTATATTACTTAGAGGTTAGACTACAGAGATGGGACATGACACCAATTTATATAGCTTTGGTTAAGTCACATCTATCCTGACTGCTTATGCCCAGTAAACAGTTTGATCCCTACAGTTAACACCTAGCAAGTCTGTTGCAGAAAATGCTTCCCTGCCTTGTGCAGGAATCACAACCATCATTCATACAGGTACCCCCGGCAGACATAATTTGCCACTGTAGTGCTTTTCCCACCTCAGTAGAGCTGGTGGAGCATTGCATCTGTGAAACAAAGCCTTTGCCTGCCTGCCCTCCGTGCTCCTGTGGCCCTTCAGGAATTTGGCACCAGGTGAAGTTCGTCCTCTGTATCCTTAGGAAACCTCACTGCCACTTCTCTGTTGGCTCAGGTGTGTAGCACCTGATTGCTGCTGGTTTTAAAGGTACATTTAAAGGCATGTTTTAAAAGTTGGTTCAGATACTGACAAGGCTCAAGCTTATGAATCTTCAGAAAGCCACAGGGATCTACGCTGCAAACAAGTGAGGCCACAGTGATGGTGATTTCACAGCCTCCTACAAATGTCTACCAGATTTTATCTGCAAGCACAGGACAGTTTGAAATGCTCTGTAAACATACATGGTAGGGTGTTAATGATTCATGGCTTGTGGTACGTACGTTATTTTACTCTACTAAAGATTTCATTTTAAGGAAATTTAATTTTCAGCTTGTCTAGGGATACATACAATTGCTTTATTTTAAGTAATTTAAACATCCTCAATATTTCTTTTTGGTGCTAACACATATTATGAGTATTTATATTGACCTACTTATATAAATACTTCATAAGTATTTATATTTTAATTATAAAATAAGCAAAAGAGAAATCAAAACAACAGTGCAGGAGTTAGGACTAAGCTACTGCCTCCCTGCATTTGTGATTCCCTCCCAGCAGACCATGCTGCTCAGTGATCTTATTCTTTACTATGGACTCTGCCACCCTACACATTTTGAAACGAAAAGATCTCCAACCTGCATAAAGGACCCTGGGATCTGCAGCCCAGGGCCTCTGACTGCCCTTGCTGTCAGTGTAGGTGGGGTGTGTCGACTGTTTCAGAACTGTGTCGAGACAGACAAATCACTAATGCTCCCTTTAAAAGCAGGTGGCTTGTTTTTAAAACAGAGCAGGTTTTTTTCCAGACAAAATACTAGCTGAAAAATTCCTGAATATCATTGAATTGGTCTCCTGCATGACACAGAAATCTCTTCCCTCATAATTACATCCTTGTGCTAATTATATTGCTTCTGAGCTGGAGGTTGCTCATTCTTTGATTAAAAAAATTAGGGAATAAAGTATACAATTACCTTGGTCTGTTTTTTAATCTCTCTTTTCTCTCCTTCACAACTACTTCAGAAAATGTAGGAGGCTGATATTACCTTGTGTGGTTAAATACCTTCTTTCACAAGAGATATTTACATATATACTTGATTTATTAACCATCAGGAGGAGACGATGGGATTCAGCAGCTGAGACAGATTTAGCACTCCCTTGCATATCTTTTTTTAGTGTTTTCTGTTTCCTGCTAATTTACCTCCTGCAATTGCTGGCTGTAGACCAACAAACTGTTTTGAGTAACAAGAACATCCATTTTTCTTCCTGAAAAATAGTTTTATTTTCAAACCAGCAAATTCTCTCTTATACACGTCAACCTCTAATAATGATCTTGTAAAAGAATAATTTTGTTTTAGAGTAGGGCTTGACAACAATATCTCTTTGAAGCCTAAATTTATGAATCCTAATAAGGCAAAATGTTATTTGTATGATTTGTTTACAGCAAAAGCTCATGGCCTTTTGGATAATAAAACCAGCGATTTCCTATCTTGATTTTTGTAACATCTCGGAGGACAGATGCAGGCCTGTGACAGCTACGTGATGTCAGCCAACTTTCCTGTCGGCTTTAGATACCTGTTTCCTTCCCAGATTTAGCCACCTGTTTTTTCCTGTGCTGGCCTTATGCAGAGAACACGGTGTCTGGATTAATACCTGCAGCCATTTCATTATTTCCTGCCACATTGGCAGAGAAAGGTTTGACTGAATGACAGTCAGGAAGAGAAAACTAATAATTATTCCTTTTCTAAGTGGCTTTTAGACTGTTTGGAACCATCAGCAGTGGCTAATGACCATAATGGCAAGAGAATGAATTATTCCTGCCTTTTGCATACCATGCTGAGGGACTCTGACTTAAGCGGAGACAGGGAAGTAACACTTGTTTACATTTATAGATAATTAATTTGTACTTTATATTCTTTATGTAGACTTTATATATACACATGCACAATATATTTCATTGACATGTATTAGTAGTGTAAATTGTATTGCCAGGGAATAAAAAAGGACTCTTCTAGGGTGTTGACAGAGTAATTGTGTGTATATTGTTTTAATTGGTATGTATATACTGGTATAATTATACTGATATAATTAATCCAATAATCAGGCGTTTAAGTGCAACGCCTGTGATACCAATTGTAGAATGCATTGCCATGATCCAAAAAAGCCCCCAACCCCCTTTTATTTGCAGGGCTGGAGGCCTGAAACCTCTGTATGCCCCATTCTACCACAGTCTTGCTAAGTAACATGTGCTTTTCCTTTGCATTTAAGCACCTACTGACAGGGATCTGTGGAATCTTAATCACAATACTGGTGGTTTATACAAGTATTTCAGCTGCAGGGATACATAGGAAGGATCAATTTTTAGCTACATCTTTCAGAAAGACTTCATGTGATTTAGGTAAGGACTGGCTGTGAGAGGTCTGGATCAAAGGAAACATTAAGGAATAAGTGTTGTGTATATGGTTGTTGGCAGTCATGGGGAACTGGAAAAAAAATGGCTAAGTACTGTAAGAAGCAGGTAACTGGAGTTGACTCACCAAGCAATATGGAATATTTCAAATTTGATTTTTCATTTGTCAACTAGGTAAATATTATATGTATCTACATTTTTTTCAGAAAAAAAAAACCCAGAAAAAGGGAATTTGGGGAAAAAATATAAACACAAAAGAATGACTTAAAAAAAACCAACCCTAAAACCATAACCAATCAAACAAGAGCTGAAGGAAAAACAGCATTAATTATTCCAAAAGTTCTGGGAGGATTTTGAAGGGAGAGGCTTGGAGACAAAGAGGGAGGGTTTAAGAAAAAAAGATGAATGTAAAAGGATATTAATAAAATTTGTGAATAACAGATATTAAGGTCCTGTCTAAGGTATAAATGAAAAATATTCCTAGGATTATCATGTATGTCTTCCCTAATGTATTCAGCAGTGTATGCAGCTTTAGGCTGTAGTGCCAAATACATGTACATAAATACATGGAATGGGGTAAAAAGCTTCAAGAAAAGGCCTTTGAAATGTTACTGTGCAAAACCACCTTCATTTCCATGAGCTCCTTGAGTATACTGGACTCCAGTTTGCTCCTTTTGAGAGAAAGTGAGAGCCTTTGGGTAACTTACAAAGTGGCCTTGGAAGTTCTACCTGGGGTTATGTGCACGTGCAGCAATGGTACATATATGATGAAGGGGTTTTTTGGAAGATAACTGGGCTAACAGCAGTCAAACTTGGGGCTGCATCCAGCCACTACTTTACAGCTCAAAAATACAGCTACAGGAGAGATAAGTGCTTGGCTGTCAGGAGCAATGAGCAGCAGGTCCAGTGTTTTGAAGCAGTATTGCTGTTGGGAAAATGAGCATCAAGAGGTGAAAGCCGCATGAAACAAACAGCAGCTAGAATTGGGATTTGGAACTAAACAGAATGAAAAAATTGGGAGTGACCAAATCAAGATGCACAGGGAAATGAGTGTAAAGTTATGTATATTTATGTCATTTATATATTTATATACAGAGATCTTACAAAACACCGGTCAGACACCAAATATTCCATGTTCCATTTGTTGAAAAGAAGTGTGGCAGAGTCCTCTGCCACAGGAACGAATGGCACTGCTCCTTGGGACCATGCAGACTCCCAGAGACACCGCAGCGTGATGGCTCCCAGGGGTCCGTGCTCCTCTCTGGTGGCACTTTTACAGCAATGCTTGGTCTCCCTACGGATCACTGCTGCTTAGGCACGACACTTAAAGCCAATGCCTTGAGATTGGTTCTTTGTATTTCTTTCCCCCTCCCTCTCTTCTAGGTTTCAACTCTCTTGTAGGTGGAATAATGGGATTTTCCATCCTTCTTAGCGCAGAAGTTTTTAAACACAATTCTTCTGTCTGGTATCTGGATGGCAGTATAGGAGTTTTAATTGGACTTACAATATCTGCCTATGGAATCAAGTGAGTATCTCCTGTTAGCAGGTATTTCGGTATGTATGTACAGCAGATGGCCTGTTTAATGTAATAAGCCATAGCTCTATAAGGCTTCTATAACTCCAGTAAAATCAGTAACTGGAATTTATGAGACTGGCTGCCAATACTGAAGCACAGTATATGGAAAGGGAGAAAAGCTTTTTGTGTCTCACATCAGTTGGAAAGAAGCCAGGACTTAAAAAGAATTTGGAATAATTTTTAGAAGGCTTTTGTATACCTGAATTTGGCAATATGAAGTTTGAAATATTTGAAAAATAACAACAAAACTTGGATAAAAATCAGTCACTGCTGCTTTTATGGCACATTTCTAAGCAGTGCTTTTTTTCCAAGGAAAGTCTAGGTTAAAGGTAAGGTGTCTGAGCCTAAAGAATGACCTTGTAAGTGATTTCCGTCTTAGCCCTACCCTATAGCAACTTCTGAACTGAGGGTTAGCCAGTCGTGTTTCAAATGTTATTTCTATTGAATTTTATGATGCTTTCTTGGTTTGTGACACCAGAAATAGAATAAAATCAAATGAAGCTCTGCCTTGTGCTTCATTGCTGCACGATTTCTCTTGGCTGCATGGAAACTAAGATTTTTGCATTTTCTCCCCCTTTCTGCCATAAGAGAGGGGGATTTGTAGCGTCTTGGTTAATTGGAAGCGTGCCTGTTGAGTAGCAGCCCTTGGCCAGGCTGCAGTGAGCCGTCATCTGGAAGCTGTGTGGTTTTTAAAAAAAAAACTTGGAAAATGAAATTAGCATTTTAATGGAGAATACCATTCTTGGAAAAATCGCTATAATCACAATTTCCATTGTAAAACTAGCTGGTCTGGAAAACTGTAGAGGCAAATCTGTACAAAAGTATTTATTTAAGCACAGCAAACAGCATCAGAAACTGCACAGCCACTGAAGCTCCTGCTACGTTCGTGCCATCGGTCTGTTTGACAGCGTGCTCAGCCATCCTGTCACCAGGACACAAAACTGAATTTTGTTTTGGCAACAGCCCTGATTGTACAGTTTGTGAAACTGCTGCGGGATTCCTTCCAGCAGCAGCAGGAACAGGTTGCTAGGACAGTTCTTTCTCTACTCATCCTCCCGTGGCTTCTCCAGCCAAAAGTGACTGCCGCTGTGCAGTTCAGTGTCTCAATGCAGCCACGCATCCAAGCTTCCTAACCAAGAGCCCCTCCCCACACAGTTTGCTCTACATTCCCTTTTGGGCAGAATCAACTGTGGGGCAGAATTAATTTTCCTGAAATAAATCAGTATTTATAATTAGAGACAGCACCCTGGTTTCAGGGCTTTCCTGTGTCTCCACATCAACGCTCCTGTGCTTTCCTCTGCAGGTTGCTCATCGATATGGTGCCCCGTGTCAGGCAAACGCGCCATTACGAAATGTTTGAGTGAAGAGCCTGCCCTCTCCTCTGTAAGGACTGTACAACTACAGCATCGTACGTTTTGGCAAGTGGTGCCAATGGTATTTTACTAAATATGCAGTTTGTTTCCTGTGGTCTGTTTTTGTTGAAGTTTGTTTCAATGGGAAATCTCTCTGTAAAACTGGCATATGTGCACACTGCTTGCAATTCAGCGAAACAGCAGCATTTTATTTTATTTTGGAGTATGCTATTGATTCCTGTGACAATAGAAAACATGCAGTTTGCAGCTTTAACCCAGCTGCCATGTTGTATATTCCAGAGTGAAAGTGTTCTTAATGGTGTGATAAGCCTGTGGGTAAAGAAGTGCCAGTTTCAGATCTTGGGTTTTTTGTTTTATTTTGGGTTTTTTTTTTCCCAAGCACATGCTGTAACAGAAGAACAATCCTTGCTAACCTCTTCGGCTAACAGTATCCTGTGTAGAGTCTGGACACCAAGAGCTGTGTTGCTTAAAACACCCGAGTAGCTACTCCCTCCTCCTCATTCAAATAGCCGCACAAAAAGAGCAGGTTCAAACCTTCCTGTGATCAGAGATACTTTGTTTTAACCCTAAATTAACTGAAACTATACCTCTTCAATTTAAATTCTATTTTTTTCTTAACGAGACACTGTTCATAGCTTTGCATGGACCAAACAAGCACACACACTCAGAGTATTACTGTACAGACCAAAGCCAAAAAGTCGTGCAAGGAAGAGGAGCTGCTTGAGGAGTGGGGTTTTATCTTCTATTATACTGTACGCAGATGTACCAGCGTGTGTGACTTTGTGGTTGCTCTGTAGTCTGACGATGGCACAGCAGTGGCTCAATCTGGTGGTGAGATACAGATCTATTTATTAGATTTAGATTGTCCTGTAAAGTGTTGCTCACCTTCCATCACACATCTTATATATTACTTAATAGCAGGTTAAATTATCAAAGAATCTTGATGTATAATCAATAAAACTGGTATCTATTTTATACAGTATCTGTAAGTAACATTTGAAAACTATTTCCAGAATGTATCATAGAACAAAGTCTTCCTGTATAGCAGCCTATTAAACTGGATTCTCTGGCTATATCCATTTTCTCTTTATTTTATATATTCCAGGTGTGTTTTCACAACACAGAACCAGTGTTGTTGCTTCTGTTTATCACAGGTGGATAACACATAGACAGTCCACTGTAGAGTTTGTAATAGGACCATGGTAAGTAGCCAAGTAGCTAGAAATGCTCAATTCTAGCTACACGATGATAGAATACATAAACTAGAGTAGATGCACAGTTAGACTGTTCCAAGATTGATGTACGGAGGGGACACTGATTTTTTTACTGGTGCCTTGTGATGCTAATACCGTATTTCCCATCACACATCACTATGTGAGTTCTCAGCGAGATCCTTAAAGATCTTTAGTAAAAAAACAAATCCAAAAGATTCGTGTAGG